AATCTTATTGCAGAGGGTGGATATTCCATCAGAATAACCTAACTCTGCTCCAGGGAGAGCAGCCCTTGTCCTGGGCCTCACACCCCTCTCTGCCTTCCTCTCTATCTGTGTCTATGGGTGACTTTGAAGGTAAATGGAAACTCTCTGTATGGGGGCAAGGAACCTGGTCTCCCCCAGGCCAGTCTAGGGTGGGTAATTACACAAGGAAGTCTAGGGTAGGGTTGGGTACAGGACCTGCATAGCTGGCAAGTTCAGGGAGGGAGTCAGAGAATAAAATGACAATGTCAATCTTTCGATCAACTGCTCTCTGTGACCCCTGGATTTCCTACATCCACTGACATCTTTTCATTCTGGTTTCACTAATCATCATGCCTCTAAAAACTCTTGGGAGGATTTATTCAAGGCAAGTCACTTCTGCTCATAGCTACCCTTCCCATCTCTTCACTTCTGCCCCTAGGCCTCAGACTTCAACCTCTCAGCTGTCGAGAAGGAAACCTGTCCTGATATCATTAGTGTGTGCAAGACAGCTCTGTTTGCACATAGTTGTGTTTCTTCCAATTAAGGTAACTCATTAAACCTCTGGAGGAATTCATTCTTATTCCTGGATAAGAACATTCAGCCAATGGAAAGAACCCTTTGACAGAGCACATGTCCTGATTTTGGCTTGAGGCATGTAGCCCCCAGGTTGTCAGCTGAGGACGTGCAGGAGAGACCTGGGGCCAGTGTGCAACTTCCTGAAAGGGAGGTGAGGAGGCTGAGCTGACTCTGGCCACCTGGAGGGATGCAGCTCCCGCTCCCACCCTGCCACCCCAGGGATCCAAGGACAACACAACAACGCCTCAGGTCTCGGCAGGCCTTGCAGTCCCCAGGGCCCAGAAACGAGGCTCCTTCTTCTCCTTGGGGGGCCTGCTGTGGAATGTGGGCCTGTTGCCATGTTGCCAGCTCTAGTTTCCATTCTGAGTGACTAGAGAAGGACGCATGTTGCTCCCAGCACCAGGTCTCCACAGGGGAGGCCACACAGCTACTGGAACCCCCCCTTCCAGTGTAACTCGGCACACTGAGTCTATCCCTGGTTCTGGTCCATGAGGATTTGGGGTCCTTGCTGCTTCTCTCTGAGCCTCATTTGTCTCCAGATGGGAGCTATTTCTTGGGCTCCTACCATGTTACCAGATTTACAGTTCTAAATTTTGCCAGCAACCCTCATCACCCCTATTTTGCAGATGAGCAGACTGTTATTCAGAAAGACCGACTTGACCAAGACCCTATGATTGGTAAAGGAATGACCCTGAAATGAATCCAAGACTCTTGGCTCAGGACTCTCTTGAGACCACAAAGGGAACCAGTGATTGATATACCCTGAACACAAGGTCTTGGCCTGGTGGCTGCTCCTAAAAAAACAAACAGTGCTCAAAGACTATAGGAGCCAATCTCATACTTGGAGGTCTGCTGGGAGCACCCAGAGCTAGGCAGGGGATACCACCCAGACTGTGGATGGGCAGGCAGTACATGTACTGGGTTGCAGAAATTCATGTCACCAGTTCCAAGGGACAGGATTAAGTTCTAATATAATGAGACCAGAATCTAAATCCCAGGTGCTGTCTGAGGGAGACCAAGCATGACAGAGCATATCTTTCAGGAAGCATTGAACTCTAAGTAACAGAAAATCTGACCAACAATGGTTTAATCACATAGGGGGTTGTTTCTCCCACAAAACAAGAATTTAGAGGTAGGTGGTTGGTAGTATTGACTTGGCTGCTTAAATAGTGCTATCAAGGAGTTTGTCTTGCCTTTCTGCCATTTTCACTATGTTGACTTTCTGTCCTCATGCTTGTCCAACTTTACGATCTTAATGCAGCAGCTCCAGGTATTACATCTGCATTCAAGGCAAGAAGAGAGAGGAGAGATTGTGCTGATGACATTTCCCCCTTTAATCAAGAAATCAAAAGCCTTTAACTTGCCAGCTGAAAGATTTAATAAATAGGTTGAAAATGTGGAGGTAAGAGGGGAAAGAAGGAAGAAAAGAAGGGAGGCAGGGAGGGAGGAAAGGAGAGAGGAAGGAAGGAAAGAACGAAGGACGGGGGAAGAGGGAGAAAGGGTAGGAGGCTGGGAGGGAGGTGGGAAAGAGAAAGGGAATTCTTCCCAAACATCTTTCGAAGAGAATGGAGTCACATGGGCATTTTAACTTCAAAAGCAGCTTGGAAGCAGATTATCTGGCTTTTACCTTCTATGGTGAGAGAACAAGAAGAGGGAAGGAGATGAAGAACAGCTACTGAGTTTACCAGCCAACAGAACCTGCCATGGAATTCTTCATCCTGGCCATGTGACAGTGTTCCAGGGGTAAATCACAGAAGTCTGTCCTGGTCAATGCACTTTTACACATGTTATTTCCTGGAATTGGGACCCCCACCCCATTCCTATGCCTCTCATATTTGCCTAACAAAGCCTTCAGTGTATTCTGGAACTATACGTTTAGAAGCAATTTGGCAACATGTTTCAAAGGCCATAAAAGTGTTCATAAATTTTGACCCAGTATTTCCACTTCTGAGAATTTATTTGTTCCAAGGAAATAACCCAAAAGGAAAAAAATCCTACTTGCTCAAGGATGTTCATTACAGCTTTAGAAATAAGAAACAACCAAAAAATCCAACAACGGGGGAATGGGAAATGAACTCACAGTACGTTCGCTGGATGGCATATTGCACAGCCATTAAAAGTGAGCACTATAAACTTCACTTAGTGATGTAAAAAGGGCTGTGATATAATGTTATGTTTAAAAACAAAACATATGGCCCCACTGTTGTGGTTCAATTGGTTGGGCACTCTCCCACAAAACAGAAGTTTGCTGGTTTGATTCCCAGTTGGAGCACATGCCTGGGATGCAAGTTCGGTCCCTGGTCCAGGCACATATGAAAGGCAATTGATTGATGTTTCTCTCCCTTTCTTTCTCCCTCCTTTTTCCTCTCTCTAAAAAGAAATAAAATCTTTAAAACCAAAGCATGTGACCAAATGCATTATTTGGACTGCATACTTGTCTTATCCTGCTTGGGCTGCCACAACAAAATACCATAGACTAGGTGACTGAAACTGAAATTTATTTCTCAAAGTTCTGGAAACTAAAAGTCCGAGATCAAGGTGCCAGCAGAGTTTGTGGCTGGTGAGAGCTCTCTTTGGGTTTCAGACAGCCAGCTCCCCACTAAGTTTTCACATGGCCTTTCCTAACTGTGTGCACACAAAGAGAAGGAAAGAAAGCTCTGGTGTCTCTTGCCCTTCTTATCAGGGCACTAATTCCACCAGGAGCACGCCACCCTCAGGACCTTTATCTGCATCAAATTATCTCCCAAAGCCTCCATTCTCCGAATACTATCACATTTGGGCTTCCGGTTTCAACACGGAGGATTTTGGTGGTACACAATTCAGTCCACAGCAATACTTAATCAGATGTGTGCCTTGTGTACAAAGCCTCGAAGGTGTTATATAGTTTTAAAAATAACTGGGGGATCAGAGAGGGGTTAGAATAATATGATGCATCTTTCAAGCCTCTGCTCAAATAGGAAGCTTCTTCCTCGGTTTTTGCTATCACATCTTTTCTGAAGTTCTTATTCTATTGGACCATGTACTTTCCTGGTGCTAAGGCCAAAAACAATTCCCCTTTGTTCTTGACCCATGATGGACCAATGACACAGGAACCCAAGTCAAGAACGCAGACTAGGAGGCTGGTGGGGAGGAGGTAGTAAACGGTGGATGATGTGTATCAGCAACGGATCCGGGGCTCCAGTAGGTGCAGAGCTTGAAAACTAAGGGCATAAACTGCTGAGCACTGAGTAAGAGCTGTTTCTTCTAGTTATTTTAAATTTATTATTTAATTTATTATTATATAATTAATACATGTATTACTCACTAAAACAAATTAAAATAGTTCAGATAAAGCCCACTTACATGATTCCACTCCTCTCCCTAGGGATGGTCAGTTATATACCCTTCCAATATATTCTTCCTCATGCAATAGTTTCAAAGTTTGCGTCCGCGTTTTTGTAGACAGTCACATTGTTCTGTGACTTACTTCTCTCCCATAACAAGACCTTTTCGCTTCGGGAGGCAAAGGTCTTCCTCATTTGTTTGGACCTCAGAAAACCATCACTAATGTGGATATTAAAAGATGTGCCCTGGCTGCTGTGGCTCAGTGGATTCAGTGCCGGCCTGAGAACCAAAAGGTCCCCAGTTCGATTTCCAGTTACGGCCCATGCCTTAGTTGCTGGCAGGTCCCCAGTGGGGGTGGAGGTGGTGCATAAAAGGCAACCACACATTGATGTTTCTCTCCCTCTTTCCCTCTCTTTTTCCTTCCCTTCCCTTCTCTCTGAAATAAATAAAATCTTTTTTTAAAAAAACACTAAAATGAATTAGAGCTTTTTCTGTTAATGAGCATCTGGGTTGTTTCTGATTCTTCAGCTCTCTGCCCCTTCCAGCATGGCCCCCGGGATGAGGTCTCCTTGTGACTTGGAGCTCGTCTCCGGGCACAGCTATGGAATTGCTGTGAAGGGCCTGGGCATTTTTCATTTTCACGGGCACTGCCACATCTCGCTCTACAAACACCATGACAAATTCCATATTTACCAACAGTGACAAAAAAGGTGTTCGTTTGCCCTCGGTACTGTTCGACTTGCACTTCTTTGATGACCAGTGAGGCTAAGACTATTATCATGTGTTTACTGTTTGCAGTTCCTGGGCGGTGAACTATCTGCTCTAACCTATCATTTTTCCTTTCCATGGTTTGTCTTTTACTTATTACTTGTAGGAATTCATTATATAATCATGACCACTAATCCTTTTCAATTGTATATGTTGCAAATACCTTCTTTTAGTCTGTCACTTGTCTTTTAACAATATTTATGGGTTTTCTTTGTTTTTTTTTTAGTCATATAGCAGTTTTAGATTTGACATAATCAAATTTAGCAATCTTTTTTTTTATTTTTACAGTTTTTGTGTTTTATGTCTTGCTAAAGAAAGCCTTTCCTACCCCAGGGTTATAAACAAATTCTTCTGTATTTTCTTTTAATAGTTTTATAGCTGTGTGTGTGTGTGTTTTATGTTTAGCTCTCTAATCCATCTGGAATTTATTTAGTGAATGCTGTGAAGCAGGAATCAACTTTATGGGGGTTTTTTCACACGAATAGCCAACTGTCTCTACAGTATTGATTGAAGAGTTCGTTCTTTCCCTACTGCTTTTAAATGCCACCTTATCCTACACCAAACTCTTTATACGAACCCTTTACACTCTGTGCTACGGCATCAATGGACACCTTGTCCCACACCAGCACACCTCCCTTCTAATCAGCACAGCTCAGTGATGCTCTGTTATCTGGTGGGGCACGTTCTCCCTCACTGTACTTCTTTTTCAAATACGTCTTGACTATTCCAGCACAGTTATTCTCCTAGATTAGTTTTAGAATCAGCTTGTTAAATTCCACATACACACACACGCACAAATCCTATTACAACTTTGACAGCCATTATGTTGAGTTTATAGAATTCTTTGGGCAGAACTGATACCTTCACAAGTACTCTCTCTGCCTGCTTCGGACCTCTCTTGCACCTCACATCTTGATTCTGAGGCCAGCTCCAGTGCTTACGAGCTCTGTGATCTGCGGTGGGTCAGCCTCTCCAAGTCCTGGCTTCTGTCCTCCTCAACATTGGAATATTATTTCCTGTCCCAGAGCTCATGGAGGATTAAATGAGAGCCAGTGTGTGAAAGCACTAGATGTGAGCTCCCAGTGGGCACCCTCTGCTTCATTTAGCTCTGCAACCCAGGACAGTGAGTTCTTTGAAGAGTCCCGAGAAGAAGAACACATTTTCTCCAATCAGGTAGATTCATGAGTACAGGATATGGGGTTGATGTGGAGAGAGAGGCAGAGAACTAACATGTCTATCACTGTGTTAGGTACTTTACATGTATTAGCTCATTTGTCCTCAGAACAAGCCTGTGAGGTAAAGAAAAAGGAGACCCAGTGGACTGTCTGGACTCATATGCAAGGCTCTAATAAACTGCAACTTGTATCCTCTGTCCTGCCTAGTTTGGGAGCTGATGGGGGCCTCTCCTTGTCATAAAGCCAGAGCTGCTAGATGGTCTGATGCTCCCTTCTAAAGTCTAATGAGCATGGAGTAGACTGGGCCCCACAATACCCACATGAGCATTCAGCACTTAGCACAGTGTCTTGCACATATTAGGAACTTGTTGAATTACATTAGAACAAAGTCCAAATATCATAACATGAATGGTACAGAGTACAGTAACTGCTAGACAAATTCAGAAGGAAAAAAAGGCTCTGTGGACTAGGGAAATCAGAGAAGTCTTCCAGGTGGAGGTGAGATAGGAACTCAGCCATGAGAGATGGCAGGTGGATTTAGACAAACATAAGACAGCAGAGCATTCCAGGATCAAAGCGAGTACTGCCAAACAGGTGAGCTCAACTGATTGGATAGGCAGTAAGTGTGAACAGAGAAAGGCATCTCAACAACTGAGGACTTGCCTGGGCAGCATCACCAGGCTGGAGCAAGGCTGGGAGGCTAGTAGGTCATGAGTGTGTTATCTTCTAGGCCCATCAAGCTAGCCTCAGTGTCCTAAGGTTATGCTTCACGTTCCACATGCAGATATCACAGCCAGTTGCCATGGCACCAAAACACAAAAACCAGCCCTGGGAAGTCATCTGGGAGGGGCAGGAAGGGGTTGCCTTTCCTCAGACGCTTCGCCCACCCCACACTGCATCCTGACCCTATGTCTTCACTCTGACTTTGCCTCTTAAAGCCATGTATCACTGTGTATATGTGTAGGCACCTGGCATGAGCTGTGTGCTCTTGGGTGAGCACCTCAGCCTCTCTGAACTCAAGCTATACCGTTTCCAAGTATGCACATATTCTGGTCACAAGTTGTTCTTGCTCCCATTGGAGACAGAAACAGCTTCACAGCATGGCCACACTGTCATATACCCTGAGAGGAAAAGAGAGAAGGAAAAACACAGTTTATGCCAGGGGCTTTATATACAGGTTGTCAGGTTGAGTTTGGGCGTTTAAAAACCAAAGCACATTAGTTCAGGTCCTTCAAGAAACCAGACTCCATGATGAGATTAGGAATGCAAGATATTTATTTGCAGAAACATCTCTGGAGGAAAAATAAAAGTGAGTCAGAGGAAGTGGGCACCTGTCAGGCCATGATGCAGGTCTGACCCCTGGGCGGGAGCCAGGGAAGGAAGGAAGGTTAGATGGGCGGGGTCTCAGAGTGCAGTGTAAAAAGGTTTCGGACCAGCCAATAGGAAGTCCTGGACCTAAAGTCGCCCCCAGAGGAGGCCTGCACTTCTCAGGAACAGGACTCTCTCAGCAGCCCTGGTGTGCTCAGTGCTCAGTGGGAACAGCCCATGGGCAGCGTGGCCTTAGCAGCAATGCACAAGAGCTGGGGGCCTGTTCAATCACACTCCTGCGGTAGGGGAGCTGAGCGGCACATTCTCATGGCTGTCACCCAAAGCAGTGTGGCACTACTGCCTGCTTGATACTGACATTATTTAAGCCCAAGGGAGGCCTGGTGTTGAGGTGTGAAGAGGAAGCATTCGGGCAAACCTCACGTGGAGCTCCCCTGCTTCTGAACTGTGATCGCACTCAGCCTTTTCACTGCCTGGCTTTCACTCCTTCCACAAACTGGAGCAACAGTTCTTTTTTTTTTTGATGGGTTGCTAAGAAGATAATCGAGGAGCTGAAACCTTCTCTCCTCAGCTTCAATGGGAGAAAACTAGACGGAACTGGCTGACGGAAGCCTGGGTCAGAGGCCTAAAGGAAGAAGTGCTTTCCTTCTTCCCGGGGGAGGTTCAAGAGGTTAGAACACAGAGGAAAAAGCATAGAAAAGAAAGTCCCCAAGGCCCACTCACGGCAGAGGTGATATCGTCACTGGAGAAGAAGAGTACTGGTTCTTATTTACCATCTGGATATTAAATGCTTTATAATTTCATTAAAATGTATTCGTTTTATAATTATCTCAAACTAAAAAGTTTGTTCACAAGTTTTTTTAGTTAAGAGCATGTTCAGCTGAAAATATCAGGAAATCCAACTACTGGTATCTTAAGCAGTAATGTTATTTAACTACTTCATATAACAAGAAGTTAGAAGGTAGGGGGCCTGGGGTTTGTTTAGTTCCTTAGTAATGCTAAGGTGCTGGATGCATGTCTCTGTGCTTCTCTTGGTCTTTGCCTCACTCTCACAAGATGGATGCCACAGCTCCAAACATCACACCCTCACACAATACTGTCCCAAACAAGAGACAGGGGGAGGATATAAAAGGGAGCATTTACCTCACATTTCTTCTTTGCAGGAAAAAAAAATCTTTCCCAGAAGCCTCTTGAAGACTAGTCCCTTATGTCTCATTGGCAAGAATTAGACCCCTTTTTGGCCAATCGCTGGCAAAAGTATCTCTGGGCCCATGGCTGCTTGAACAAGATCAAGGTTTATTACCAAAGAAGACACTACAAGGAATGACTCTGAAGTAGGCAAAAGAATGTCTTTCATAAGATGAATTTCTGAAAACAGAATGAATCTTTCTACCCTCTGAGCATAGCTAAGAGGATACACAAGTACATAAACACATTCAGTATAATGGCAACAATGAAAAATAACATACAGGACACAGGAGTCCGATTAAGAAAGGAATGTGTTCAGTCAATGCAGGGTGGGGGCTCCGGGGTGACTAGAATCATGGATACAGCTCTGGGCCAGGGAACAGGTCGGAGAAACCCTCACAGCGCTGTGTCTCACAGAGGGCTGCCCACCAAGCAAGAGTTCACTAGGCAAACTGTGCTGAAGACCACATTCAGCCCACAAAAGGCTATGTCTGTACAGGAAGGGCTCGTGGAGTTCCTACTGTCACAGCCATGGGAAAGGGAAAGGACAATTTCCCAAGCCTTCTCTCAGGGACACAAGGACACAGGTTGGATGGAGAAAGTCTTCACAGAAGAGGCAATTTTGGAGATGACAACAAATTGGAGGCTTTGGGATCCCCAGGGGAAGCATGGAAAGGGGCCTTGGCAGAGCCATTTTGACATGATCTATCCAGACCAGTGGAGGGCTGGAAGATCATGGGCCTGCACGGAGTAAGGAAACCCAGCGGGCCCCTCCGGCCAGTCCCAGGCGTCCCTCTCTGCCTCTGCATGTCCTGTTCTGCTTGGAATGTCCTTCTACATCCTCCTTCCTGGCAAGCACCTTCCTCATTTAAAGACCCTGCTCAAACATGGTTTTCTTGGAGATGCCTCCCTCAGTACAGAGGCAGAGCACACCACGCACACACCACCGTCTCCATGCCCTGCAAGTGTCACCCTCTACGTAACTGACCTGACTTCAGGTCTGTGTGCCTTACCAGTCGGGGCGCTCCTCCAGGCCATTAGCCTGACTTTCAGGAGGACTTATCTGCCTGCAGCCAGGGGGCTACCAGACAAACACAGAGGTTCAAGAGGGAAGGAGGGCATCCAAGAATAAACAAATGGAGCTGTGACCAGAAAGAGCCCTCCATGGTAACCAAGCACTCCTGGTAAGTGTCCCCATCCACAGCCCAGTGTAGGCACCGGTGACCAGACCCAGGTACTGGCACCATCCCTTTGTGGTTCCCCTGGTGTGTGTTCTGGGGAGCAGGTGCCAACTAGGTTCGACACTCATACGCTACAGGAGTATTAGAGAAGGGAAGGAAGTATTGAGAAAGGTGATCAGAGAAAGGAAGAAAAGCAGGAACTCAAACAAGATTTAAATAATAGCCCTGTCTAAAAGCTTTCCACACCACGTGTTGGGAACTGAGATGAAAACCCCAAAGACTGAGTTTAACAACTGAGGCACTCTCTAAGGAGAACTGGACATGTCCACACAAGGCAAGAGAATTGGGAGAAAAGAATGAACTATCGTGATGCATAAAGCAGCTAAAGGGACCGATAGATTACTTGTTAGTTATGCAGAAAGCTTCCCAGGGAACTAGAATGATAATGGCCATGCCAAAGAAAGTGGAAATCAGGCCAGGATACGAAGGAGGGGTACATACAAAAAAATAACAAAAGGCTGTGGAGATAAAATCAAGAGAGTCGTTTAGAAAAAGAAATAAGATATAACTTGCACAAGGCAGCAAAGAATGAGAAAAACATTTTCTAACTCTAACAGGCCAAAAAGGGGGGATCAGGAGATTGCTGGCTCGTCTGAGCTGGGAAGAGAAAGTCTATAAAGCAGTGACACTAAAAAGCAGAGGCTTTTATTTTTTTTCTTAGCTTAAAAAGGTCATCTGTGATCTGAAAACTGAAAAGAGGCACCACATGGGATCGTGAGGAGGCAGGAGGCCAAGAGGGAACGAGGAAAGAACTTGTGTGTTCTCATCCACAGGCCCTGATGACTTACATGCTTCAGTACTTAAAGAATTGGCCCAAGGTGGAGTCAGATCACTGACTTTCCACTCCAAGGGGATTTATAGAGAACTGGTGAGGGGCTGAGAGACCAGAGGGAGACTCAGGCAGCCTGTCCCCACCTCTCTTTAAATCTGGGATAAAGCAGAGACCTCTGGAAGTGCGGAACCCATCAGCTAAACAGCTATAATAGAAAACTATTGGGACACATCGTCAAAAAATCAATCCACAAACACAAGATCATAAGGAATTAGGTAATAACCAGTACTGCTTTCCAAAGAACACATTCTGTCAGAGTAATCCAATTTCCTTCCAGGACAGAATGATGGGCCTGGTAAATCAGGAATGGTGAGACACACATAATCTTCCTTAACTTAAAGAGCAAGGCATTTAACTTCATCTTCCATGAAGAGTCTCAAGAGAAAAATGGGGACAGTGGGGTCTATAGTTGGCCTTTCTGGGACTGAACAAATGAGAAGAAGTTGAAGGGCCAACCCAAATAGACATTCTTTATGTCCTATGTCATGTGGATGGATTACAAAGGGCAGAGGTAGAGGTGGGTGGGGTAATTGTGCTGGTGGTGACGGCAGGAGACAGAGTACGAGGGAAGGCGAGAGGCAGTTGTGGTGGTGACGGAGGTGGCGATACTGATAGAGATGGCAGGGGTGGTGGAGGAGATGGTACTGGCGACGGAGGTAGTAGTACTCATGGAGGGCGTGGTGACAGTGGTAGGGATGGACATGATGGCCGTGGGAGAGGCGTCAGTGGCAGTGGACATAGTGACAGCTGTGCTGATGGACAGCACGGTTGAAATGGAGACAGAAACGCTCATAGTGGTGGTTACAGTGGAGATGATGGTGATGAGTGTGATGGAGATACTGATAGTGGTGGGTAGTTACGGTGATGAAGATGGAAGTAGTGGTTGTGGTAGAGATGGGGGTAGATACTGGTGAAGAAGGAGACGGTGATAATGGTGGCGATTAAGGTGGTGACTGCGGCAGAGACGGTGGAAACAGTGGTGGTAGAAATGCAGTGACGGTGGTAGAAATAAAAACGGTGACAGCGGCTGTGGTCCTGGTAGCAGCAACCAAACCTAGACTAGACATGGCAAACCTGGGTTTCACAGTCTGTTTTGGGGCACCTATGACAGACCCCCACACTAACCTGTTCTTTCCATGTCTGCTGAGAGAAGTGGGCATTCGACTCCAGGCATTTGGGGCCCAGCCTCATTCTGACTGCCTCACCACTGTCCTGTTTGTGCTGGGGCACTGAGTCCCCTCTCTGCCCCAACAGGTTAGGTGGCTGCCAACCTCAAGAGGTCTAGGCAATGGAGGAGTTCCTCCAGCCCAAAGGGGTGGGCACAGCCTGAGAGTCCCCCACAACCAAGAGGAGGGAAAGGTTCCTAAGGCCAAGTGGAGGCAAGCTGTCCATGCCCAGGACCAGAAGCTACAGCCCATTGGCTGATGACCACCGCTCCCACCCACCCCAGGAAGTTGTGCAGGTTGGCTCTGTAAAGGCCTCTTGTGAGGCCTTCCTACCTCTTGCCAGCCTGAGTTCTATTAGCGCAGCTCAAGGACAAGAAGCTGGGAAGGGTGGGCTAATGGCCTCTGTCCACCTTGGTTTTCACCAGGACGTGGCTGTTTTGTTGGATGGAAATAAAGTTTAAATGCCCCTCCTGTCTGTGGTCCAGTGTGCCTTAGGAGCCCTGCAGATGGGAGAGAGGAGTTGCTGGGGTTCGCAGCAGGCTTCATGGAGTATGTGGTGGAAGAGGAGCTTGCCAACTTGGGCTGGATTCCCCAAAAACATTCTTGAGGCTAGAACTCAGCTCCAGATTGAAAAAATTATTGCCTACCTCCTTGCTGTCTTCATTGCTCCAACTGGCTGTGTGATCTTGTGGAGGGTTAGGGGAGATATTTAAACTAATTTAGGCTTCATGATATTCCCTTGTTCTTTAAAGAGTTGGATGAGGTGGCCTCCAAGGTCCTTCAGCTATGGATTCAGTCCCCTAAACATACTCCACGCCATAACCCTATCCACAAGTCCACCCCACCCAAACTGTTTCACCCACCCTCTCTGCCTGTAGGGCCAGACCCCTCATCCACTGGGGCCCTGGCTCAAGGCCCAGCTCAGAGTCGGTCTGCCACAAAGCCCACCTGTGTTCACCAGGCATAAGTAACCTCTTCCTCCACTGGACCCCGTAGCCTTTGTGAACCCTCTGCCTTAAACTGTCAGACAGTAGAGCACCGAGCTCAGTGCCTATATCAGCTTATCTGGGCCCACAGGCTTGAACCTTGCTCATCATCCTATCCCTCTTGGCAACCTGCACAGCCCAGCAGAGAGGATGCTGCAAAAGTGGTAAAGAGTGAGTGCATTTTATACAGGAAGAAATTGAGGCACCAAGTGGTCATGGCCGAGACCAGAGCCCAGATCTCTGGACTCTGGCGCAACCTTGATTAGAGTCTCCCAAACCTGTATGTGAACAGACCTCTCGAAAGAAAAGCAATTCTCAAAGTTCCTGTCTGTGAGTTCCCAGCAGTTCACAGACCAATGTTTATGCCATATCAACTTAAGGCAGTAAGGTCCTAGTCTATGAAAATGCTTAACTGCAGAGTTTCAACTTTATAACTGCTGAAGTATTTTAATATCAATGAAACCCACACTTAAAAACTATTCAGAGAACTTAAGAACTCTGAGGATGAATGCCCTAGTTTGAGAAACCTTGTCCTAGCCAACACACAAATTCATAGGCAGGTATGAATGACTGGCATATCCTTTTCACTGTGCCACTAGGTCTCAGGGTAATTGGCATTTTTACATGTGCCCTTGGAAAGGACAATGGGTAATTTATCAGGTGGCCCTATAAGGGGAAATAGCAGTCCTCGGGTCACCCAGGATGGCGGGAGGCTCTTGGAAGCCTACAAAAGCAGCTCTGTCCGAGACACCAGCTCATGCTTTACTTTGGCTGAGGGTGGATACGTGTGTATGGGAGAATGGGAGTGGAGAGGGGGCGGAGGGAGGGTTCCAGGGTCCAGTTACAGGAAAGGGATGGCTTCTCCAGATTCCCCTTCCAAACTGCCATCCTGCTTCCCAGTTAACCCTACAGAGGAAGGGCTCTCCCCAGCACTGCATACATGTCCCCACCCCTACCCCCACTACACACACACACACACACACACACACACAGATTCTCCCTCCATGCTGCATTCACATGCTCTCATCTCTGCAGAGACAGGGCAAAAAATTCAATCTCCAGAGAAGACCAGGAGCCCAGGAGACGTGTCTTGTTCTGAGACCTGTGGTATGGCTTGGGCATGTGCCCTGCAGCACCCGCTTTCTCCATCTACAATGAGAGATTCGGATTAGCCGGTTTCGGAGGTGCCTCCCAGCCCTGGCCGTTCTGCAGTTGTGTCATTTCTCTTCTTATGTTGCGAAAGGCCCTGTGGTGATGCGGAAGGGGCAGAGGCTTTGGTTCACATAGATCTGGGTGCAAATTCTTTTTAGCGAGGTGACCTTAGCCAAGGTACTCAGCCTGTCTGAACTTTACTTTTCTCACCTTTAAATTAAGGATAACATCTATTATATATATACTTGTAGTAAGCATTACAGAACCCCCCCCCCCCCCCCCCCCCCGCCAAAATGGTGTGCTGGCTCTGCCCTGGATTAATGGCAGTTATTATTATGTTGGCTGAGGAAAGCCAATGTGTTTGGTGTTTGAAGCATGGACTCAAACTCGGTGGCCTGAGTTTGAATCCCCACTTAGCCACTTTCTACCTGTGTGATGGGAAAGCCACTTAACTCTATGCCTCCACATCCTCATCTGTGAAACGGAGATAATAACTATACCTGTCTCATGTACTTGTTGCAAGGATAAAGTTATTCAATAAATGAAAACGGAGCAATGTGTTATGTAATAAGCACTCAGAAAATACCAGCTCTATTACTAATAGGCTGATGTCAGATAAGTATGTGGGGGAAGGTGCTGCCCCCACTCATCTACGTCCCTCTCACCTTTGCTGAGATTTTGGAGCCAAATTCCCTTCCCATCATTCACCTACCCAGCCCACAGCGCCCCAGTTCTCATTTGCACCCAGAGCCTGGTGACCCTCACCTTCCCTGGCTCTTTCAGGAAGCTGAACTCATTCCTCTGCCCTCCCTGAAACCTGCCCTCCTTTGCCCCATGCAGCCTGTTAGCTTGTTCCCGTAACTCTTGGAGCCAGCCTTCACTCTCTGGCTTCTGGCCATGAGACCCCAGCTAGCCAGGCCTCACTCTGAGCTCCTGGGGTATCCAATCCACCCTGGAGCCTAGCAATATGCACAGAGAAAGGACCTGCTGCCTCCCTTATCTAGGTCCTGATAGCATTCACTGACATTCAGTTCTTCCTCAGAGCTGCCCTAATTCTCTGCTTCTCATTCTTGAGCTCTTTTTCAGGTCTTCACAATGTTTTCTGTAGCTGATGGGCCTTGGCTGAGCTGTGGAGATCCAGGGAAACCAAAATGAAAACCAAAGCGAAAAACTGTTTTGCTCACTCGATTGGCAAATAAATGTATATGTCATATGATACCTAGTGGCAAAGATGTGAAAGAATGGACACACTCATACTTTGACGGAGTGTAAACTGATATAACCTCTTTGTAGGAAAGTTTAGCTCTGTCTATAAGAATTTAAAATAAGTTAGGTCAGTTGGTTAGAGCATCATCCCAATAATCCCAGATTGTGGGTTCAATCTCCACTCAGGGCAGATACAAGAAGCAACTGATGAATACATAAATAAGTGGAACAACAAATCAATGTCTCTCTCTCTCCTTCCCTCTCATTCTCTAAAAAATTAATTAAAAAATTTTTAAAACTTAAAACAAATATACCCTTGACCCACTGATGCCACTCTTAGGACTCTACCCCTAGAAATACCTTTATCTGGACAAACATACTCCTACAAAAATGGATGCAGAGTAAAGCACTTCTTGTGACTGCAAACCTTTGGAGACAATATAATGTCCAGTGGTAGGGGGACAGATTAACAATAAATGCAGTATCTATACAAAGGGGTACTACACAACTTTTAAAAATATATATATACGCAGATATACGTGTGTCTAGAAATAGTAAGACAAAAATGGCATGCTGTAGAACAACATACATGGTTTGATGTCATTTTGAAAAAAGCCCACCTTTTCTCCCTCCTCTCAGCTGGGTGGGGGCTTCCTGCTAAGTTCAGGCTGGCCAAGGACAGGCTGCACGGGTTTAAAGCCCAGCCCCTTCCTTCCAGCCAAATGGGTCAGTGCCCCGGAATGGCCACACCTGGGGAAGGACGCACTCACTGCTGAGGGCCTAGGGCCAGGACTCTTGCCCAGTGAAGCACAACAGAAGTGGCCTCCATTCTGAGGCAGACAGACCTGGGTTCAAATCACCCTTCATCTGTTACCAGCTGAGTGCCCTTGAGCCAGGTTCCTCATCACTCTAAGCCCCCATTCCCCTTTCTATAAAATGGGATTAACATCACCTGTGTGGTGGGACTTAAATGAGACAATGCATAAACGATCTCAGTAAATGCCAGCTGTCTCCTGTTCCTCAAAGGTTTTTTTTTACTTTGCTTTCAAATTCCCACGATGCAGCCTCAGCTGCAAGCCTGCTCATCAGCCCCTCAACCCCGGCACCCTGCTCTGCTGTGATCCCCATGGTGGGCTCTTCCCACTCCCACTCTTACTCATTCAGTGGCGACACTTAGGCCTCCTCCAGCACTGCCTTGAGTTGTGTAAGGCCAATAAAGAGTGCCCTCTTCCATCAAAATACCGTCTCCCCCCACCCGCCCACGCCACCGAAGTGTCTCCTATTCCTCCCCACCTGTGTCCAACTCCCAGCCCCTCAGCCTTCTTCAGGATGTGACCCACCGGTCACCTCCCTCTCTCTCCTTGGCCATGTCCAACTCATTTCTCCCCTCCACCCCAACCTTACCATTAAGCTCAGGTGAATCACCCCATAAAACACCAACTTCCCCACCCTATCTCCCATCTTCTTTTACCACCCAGCGGCCTCCTCCGGAGGCTTCTGCCATCACCCCAGGGACCTCTGTTCAGCCTCCTCCCCCTGCCCACCCCCCACTTTCACGTCTGGTCCACAGTGGAGACAGCGAGCCTCTGGCCCTGGAATGGAAACAAGGTCGCGGAATGGCCCACCACCTCCACCACCTCCACCATCTCCACCACCTCCACCACCTCCACCTCCTCCACCGCGCTCACGCACCTGTTCGCACCTTCTGCACCCGGTTCCCAATCCATCTTCAGGGCTGACTTCCATCTCTTAGCTGACATACTGACTGAGCTTAGGAAGAAACTTGACGCGCGTTCTCTCTTTCTCAGAGGAGAAAACTGAAGCCCAGTAACGTCTTCACATAACTTCCCCGAGGCCTGGCAAGGGGTGAGCAGCGGAGCCGGGTCGTCGGTTGCCAGGGATCTGGTGCTTCCGGAAGTTCCCGGCTCTCCAGAGCGTCTTCCTTTCCACTCTATAGCCTCTCTCAGAAAAAGAAAGAGAAAAAGCCCAGCCAGGTGCATATTAGCATAAAAACGTCCCTAATTAGGCTCCGTTTACAGCTGGATGGGTCACACACCGCAGCCTGGGTCCCAGCCTCAGGCCGACGCGCCCTCCACCCCTTCACCCCGTCCCCCTCCCCGGGCGGGAATCTCCGAGCATCTGCCCCGAGAGGCCCCCCCGCCCCCCCGCGGGGCGCCCCGGCCCGGAAAGCCCACCTCTGGCCCCTCGCCGCCTGCTCGCGGGCGCACGCGGCGCGCCTCCCGAGCGCGGGACGCTTTGATTGACCTTGGCAAGAGGCAGCAGAGCCCCCAAAAGCCTCGGCCCCTCGCGGCCGCCCGGCGCCGGGGCTCCAGTTTCTGCTGCCACCATCTCGGTTTCTCACCCCGCCAGGGCCCGGGGGAGGGGTGCTGGGAGGAGCCCAGACCGACCCCCGGCAGCAGCGCTGGGCTGCCGGAGACGCAATCTGATGAGAATGTCTTCCTGCAAATTAAGCCTTCGCCGGACTCTCCATCCGGTACCCGCTGCAAGCCCGGGCGCGGGGAGCGGTCCCGGGGAGCGGCGACGGGGGCGGGCACAGCCGCGGCCAGGGCTCCGACCCGCTACCCACATCCGCCCCCTCCCGCCTGCACCGAGGGTCTGCGGGCTCCTGCTCGTAGGTGGAGCCCACCCTGCACTGCTTCCCAGAAAGAAGGCCAGCTGGGCCTCGCCTCTGCCCCGCTCGGAGGGCGGAAGGCGTCCGGCAACCCCTCCCTCTGCTACCGCTCACCTGCCCGGGGACAACCTGCTGGGGTCCAGTCCCACTTCTGCCTTCTGTAGATGGCTGTGGTACTTGGACAGCTAGCTGCCTCAGCAGCTCCCCAGGTGTGAAACAGGGGCTCACGATCGTGCCTGCGAAGCATCCGCCAGCAGTGCCCAGTGCACCGCGACTCCGGGATTTTGTCCAGCGTCGACCCAAGGCTTCGGGAGCTCCGGGACCTCCTCCCACCCGCATTGTTAGCGAACGTTATCTACCTGCGTTTTTCTGTGAAAGACAGGGAACGAGTTTTCGAGTGTATTTGTAAAAGGAAGAGGTAGAATTTTTGGAACTCGGTGCTAACCTGGAAAAATAATAGGCTCGAAGATATTCTCCAGGAAAACAAAAAGCAAAGGCCCTCATGAAAGAACTTCATCTTCCACTGACAGGCCTTATAGGCAATAGCCATTATTATTCCCATTTTATAGATGCGGAACTGAGGCTCAAGTGATCCCCCTGGCACTGACAGAACTGTTTTTAAAAAGAGTTCCAAGTTGAACCCACTTCTCATTCCAAACCTTGTGCCCTCCTTTGCTCCTCTACACCGCCTTCGGACATGACTTTTATGCTATTTGTAGTTTCTGCACTTATATATTTTTTCTTAGTATTGATGATTTTTTTTTTTAAGATTCCAGCCTGTCTTACACTGTGCTGAAGGCAGAGAGGAAAGTGTGTGTCTGCACTTGCACCCGGGTTCAAACTAGGGGTGGGGTGTTGGGGCGCACAGAGTGGCAGGGAAGGTGAAATTCCGGGGACACTGATGTCATGGCATCTAGGGAACCCCCTGAGGCTCCCCTCTGGCTCTGACCACTAGCAGTTGGTGCCCTAAATGCTGCTCTCCCACACTTCCCATACTGGGGATCAGGGCAGTCAGCAAGCGCCCAGCTCCCCGACATGCCCGGTTCGGCCTTGGGACTGCTAGGTCTGCTTGCTCCCCACGGGAGTGTCTGCCGGGGGTTTCTGCCCGGCAGCGGGGGCAGGACTCACCTCTGGGAGGACAGACAGAGAGGCGTTCAGAGGTTGACACAGGGAGAGAGACAAAGGTGGGGAGGAAGCACTAGAATGAGAGGGAGAGACAGGAACGCGGAGCAGGAACAAGGGAGCTATTCAGAGGGAGAGGGAGAGGGGAGGCCGCTGGGGAGAGGGAGAAGAGACAGGGAAAGAAGGGAGAAAAGAGAGACAGACGAACAGACAGGAAGGGGGTAGCGAGCAAGAAAGGGAGGAGACAGAAAGAGCAGAGGGGGAAGAGAGCGGAGCGAGATAGACGGGCAGGAGGGACAAAGGAGAGGGTGCAAAGAAAAGGGAGGAAGGGGCGAGAGGCAGAGGCAGCCGGAGAGGCGCGCGGGCAGCGGGCGAGGCCCGCGGCCAGTGGGGGCGGGGCGGCGGGAGCGGGGAGCGGGGCGCGACCAGCAGGCCCGCGGGGCCGCGGGCGGGACCGTGCGCTAAGCCTTTTCTTTCTCTTTTTTGGGGTGGGCGGCGGATCTCCGCCGAGATAACCCGGCCAAGCCCCCTGCCCTGCGTCCCAGCGAGCGGCCGCAGCTGTACAAATACCGGGGGTGGGGAGCGGGGCTGCTGCCTAGGGGTCAGCGACACCGGAGAAGGCTTTGCTGTCATTAGCTAATTGAGCCCCAGATGTTAAGAAAAGGTTACGTCCTCCTCCGGAGAGTTTTTCTTTTTAAACACTTTACACAGATTCCCCGGCCAAAACGGCCCGGAGGCCCGGGGCCCGCCCCCCCCCCGGGCCCGGGCCCCGGGGACCCCCCGAAGCCGCCCGCAGCCCGGCTGCCCCTGTAATCCTAGCGGCCTGCCCGGAGGCACGGCGGGCTGGAGCGGCGGGGACCACCGGCGGCGGAGCCAGGCCCCAGCCGGGCCGCCGACTGGGAGGTCAGCCCGGAGGGAGGGCGGCGAGGAACGGGGGACCCCGGGGAGAGGGGCTCTCGGGCTCTTAATCCCCCTGAAGGTTGCAGATCAAAGACGCTCCTTCAGAGGCCCAGGCGGTGCGGGTGAGGGCGGGGGCGCGGGCTGGCTCGGGCCTCAGCTTTCCTCGGCTCTGTGGGTTGGGGCTCCCAGGCCAAGGACCCCAGGCTGCCGGCCCAGGGAAGGGGGCTGCGACTCGGCTGCGGGGCGAGGCCCGCAGGAGCGCGGGAAAGTCGCGCAAGCGCCCCCACAGGGCCCTCGTGGAACTGCCCCCTCCCTGGAAATCGAGGGAGATTGGGGGTCCCTGCCACCCCGAGAGAACAAAACTAGAATGCCAAGGCACTTGACATATATTCTTTCATTTAATCTTCACAGCAGTGTAATGGTTTAAGTTGTTATTATTACATTAGTTGATAAATGAAGGAACAGACTTCCCCAAGGACAGCCACCGCTAGGAAGTGGAAGAGCTCGAATTCCACAGGGCTCAAGGTCATGTCCTGCCCTTTCCACGTCACTGCTCTCCTCCAGCCCCTCTACCCTTCCCTCTTCCCTCCTGGCCTCTTCCTCTGTCCTCCCAGGGTCCCTCAGCCCCACGAGAATGAGCCACACACCTGTGGTCCTGGCCAGTGGGGTGGGGGTGGGGGAAATGTGGTGCCAAGGGTGCGGCCAGTGTGGCAACAGCTACAGGCTAAATGTGAGGGACGGGGCTGGGCAAGCATGTGCCTGGGTTGAATCTGAGCTGAAAGAATGTTCATATCGCCCCTGCCCCAGAGGTGGGGCTCACTGCTAAGAATAGAACCAAGCAAGTCAGAGCTGGAAGGGGCCTTCTAGATGAGCTGATCCAACCCTCTTGTTTGACAGATGCAGCTGAGCCCTGGAGAGACGATGGGTCCTCCCCGAGATTGCACAGCTGGATGGTGGCAAGGGCGGGAGTGAGGACTCGGGCCTTCATGAGTGCCTCCTGGAAAAGCTCTGTCCCCACGATCTTGTTTAACCCTCATCAAACACTTCAAGGTGATTAGCACCTCCATTCTAGAGATGAGGAAACTGAGGCTTGGAGAAGCTAAGGGTGCCCAAGATCTCATGGCTAGAAAGTGATAGAACTGGTTTGAACCCAGATCTTTTTTTTTTTTAGATTATTTATTTATTTATTTATTTATTTATTTATTTTTAGGCAGAGAGGAAGGAGGAGGGAGAGGGAGAGAAACATCAGTGTGAGGTTGCCTCTCACATACCCCCCAGTGAGGACCTGGCCTATGACCCAGGCATGTGCCCTGACTGGGACCCAAACCGGCAACCCTTTGGTTCACAGGCCTGCACTCAATTCACTGAGCCACACCAGCCAGGGCTGAACCCAGACTTTCTTAATTTGCCACCCCACACCCCCAGAATATCAGGGCTCAGGAGTGGAGATTGAGGATGAGAGAAAGTGCCATGTGTTCAACAGCTCTAGAGACACAAGGGGAAGGGGACACAATCTGGCGAAAGTCCCAGCCTGCAACTTCAGATAGAATCTCCATGGCTTCTCTGAAGTGGCCCAAATACAGAGGCCCATCCTGGATCCCCTTTTGAAAAAAGGCTCTGGAGAAGGAAGACAGGCCTCCATCCATGGGATCTCTTTGCACCCTACCTGGCGGAGGCTGCAGCTCAGCTCCAGACAGTTGAAGAAGCCCCTGCAGCTTAACTGCCCCTTCCCAGAGCTGCCCGGGGGGGCACCGCCATACTGTCCCACCCCAGTTGCATAGACAGGCTCCAGAAGCTTCCTCCTCACACCTCTCCTGCTCCCCAGGCTTCTAGTCCTGCCCTACCTCTTCTTAGCCTTCCACTGACTCCATTTCACTCATTCATTCGTATATACACTCCTCAGAAATACTATGCATCAATACTGTGCCAGGCACTGGGATACGGCAGAAAGCAGATTACCCTTTTAGAGGCGTTACATCTAGCAGGGAGGCAGAATTAACCAAATAGAGATGTAAGTAAATTTACAATGACAAATTACTGTTATGAAGGAAAGTACCAAGGGCTTTGAGAGGTTTTAAAAGCAAGTTTGTAAGTATGGCATGATTATTGAGACAATAGAGGCTAAAAATTATTATTACTAATAATTACCCAAGCAGGAGGAACGAGGGCAACCTCTCATTTGCAATCACGCCCACACACCACCTGCAGTTCTAGAGTGGGACTCCAGCCCTCCCCCACCAGCGACTGCCAGGTCTGTCCCAGAGGGTCCAGCCATATGGATGGGAGCGAGCTGAGTAGATGGTGGCCCCAGTGCAAACAGTGCCCTCCACTACCCAGCTCAGGATTGGAGGAGGGTGACCCAGAGGCGGTGGGGGGACTGAGAGAGAGGGTATTCATCCAGGTAGCAGGTCAGGGCTGAGGCTTGAGACTAAGAGTCCTGGGGGAAAGGGCGGGCGGGGTCTGGAGGAGAGGCAAGAGGTCTAGCCAATGAGGTCTGCCTTCTGATCAGACCCTGAGTTCATACTCACACCTATACACACTCTCCCTGACTCTTTAGAGAAGGGCTGGACCAGCGTGTGAAAAGTATAGCAGAGCTGAATAGGCCCTGCCTTGAGGTCAGACAGCCTTGGGCTCACATGCCACTTCAGTCCCTTTCTGACTGTGTGGCCTCAGGCAGGGCTCTTGGTTTCCCTGAGCCTCCTGCCCCTCTCTGTTCTCTAAGAGAACAGAAGCAGTCCCCACAC